GAAATGTAGCTAGGTAACATGATACTTTAGATACCTCCGACATAGCACATAGGATGTCCTAAATTGGCACTGTTAATTAGCACACTATCGGCTCAGTTAATACAAACTGTGAATGGAAAATAGCAAAAAGTAAACATTTAAATGACTATATTACAACTGCCAATCTTTACACATCTTAACATTGGACTACACTGTACCATAGTCCAAAACACTCCAAAAGAGCTGTCTTGTTTCATAATAAAAACAGAAGATGACCCAATCAACATTTGCGTAGGTGTTTTGAACTCTCTGATATGAACTGACACTCTCTGGAAGCCCCGCCCCCTTCCCCCATTTCATACTAAAATGTTTTGGACAGTACTTGTGACGCTTGAAAGATACAGCACCCTCGCTTTCTCTCAAGGTAAACTGAGTTCACCAAAACTTTTCTGGTCAAAAACAACACTCTTTGACCAAGGGCGAGAATTTTGAATGGAAAAAAAAAAAATAGGGAAGTGGGCCTCATGGGGAAAAACTATGAATACATCTGCCCTAGATTGTACAAGTCTCTGGAACTGTACTGGAGAAATGAACAGCATTCTTATATATATATTATGTATTATAGATATATAAGTTTACATTTCACCAATTAATGAAACATCATGTGGCACTTAAAAAGGTGCTTCAGTGATTTAACAGCAATGCAGCATTTCAAAGCCTATTTATTTTATCATGTTTGTCAGCTTGTTTATCTTTATACAAAAGAGAATAAAACAATTGTGTACCCTTTTAAATTAAAGGGTAGCATTTTTAACATCTTTTCATCCTACATTCTTTCTGTCCTTGCTGTTTTTTTTATTTCTGAATCTCTTTTTCTCTGAGCTAGTCTCACCTTGAACACTGTGAGATGTGGCAGTATTCCTCACATCATCCCCCTCTTTCTCTCTCTCTCTCCCTCTCGCACTGTGGGATCAATGGGGCCAACCGAGTAAATAAACACATCAAAATGCCCAATGAAAGAATCATTTACTGCTCAGGATGGCAAGAGAGAGAGAGAGAGAGAGAGAGAGAGAGGGGGAGCTCTAAAGAAAGAGAGAAAGAAAAGTGAGATTGAATGAACTCAATAGAAAAGAATTACAATGAGATCATGGACTGACTGATGTCACCCTTAAGTGGTGCATGATATAAATGATTAATTAATCAAATCAAGCTATTAAACCCTCACTATATACAGTATAAACTCGACTCGGAACACGGCCCTCAAATAATATTCCAGGTTTACCCATGAGCCTGATAGCTGATGAACTCATCCAGGCAAGCATTACAAGTAATCAGTAAAGTCAATGCTCAAAAGTCCGAGCTCAAACATCCGTTTGCATCCTGTTTTTATTCCGGCTTGTGACTTGCGGTCGCTTTTCAATCTGGCATTGGAATCAACATGATGGGATTGTGGCGCGGCCTCCCACCAAGGCTTTTAATAGCTTCTGACAGGCAAATCAAAGTGCAAGATGGAAAGCTGCACTAAATGGCAGTGCTTTATTAATTACGGGGCAGGTGGACTGCAGCGAGCCGGAAGTAATGACAGCGTCTCTGAGCTGTGTGAGGTTCCTCTCATATTAAATGAAGCATAATTCTCACTGTATGGGGTGGAAATATGGGCAGGAGGGATGGCTTTAGGGAAATGACAGAACTGGGAAGAGAAAAAAAAAGTGGTTCAAAACTGTTCTACCAGGCGACACGGTTGATATAAACAATTACTTCAGCTTTAGGGGATTATGCTAGTAGGAATCCATTGGTTGCATATGGAAGATAACGTGCAATGATTCTGGTGTTCATATGAGCTGTATACGTTCCAACCAAGATAGTCATCTATACCAAAGGCAAGCATTCCATCATCAGGCCGATTCTCCACACTGAGCCCATTTTTTAAATAATGCTAATCCCCACATCTGCTCAGGCAAAGCATGAAGTCTGGCTTCCTGCTGTACATATTGTGGTGCTGCTTGTGCGGAACATTGTGGGTGGTTAAGAAGGCGTCAATACACTGGAGAGAATTTAAAAAAAAAAAAGAAACCTGTGAACAAAACAAGCATACACTGGTAGTACTTGCCCATTATGGCACTGCTTATTTCATGCCGTCTAGGCTCTCGAAACATCATCGCTTTTCTTTTAGTTTGATCTTGACCCGTGAGTCAACCCTCTTCTGGAAGAATGGAAAGGAAAACATAAATAAAAAGGTCCAAAAAGTCTAAATACAAAACCAAGATTTTTGTTCTGTTATTAAAATTGTAGGAAATTTGACTCAGATGAGGAATATTCAAACCTACAATACAGAAAAGTGCTTTAGTTGCTTGAGAAGTACTCCATCCATTTTCCATACTGCTTATCCTGAACAGGGTCACCTGGCCCAGAGAATTCAGGGTACACCAAGGTGGGGGACACCTTGGACAGAGTGCCAGCTCATTGCAGGGCACAACTCCACACATAATTTGGAAATGCCAAGCAGCCTACAACACATGTCTTTGGACTGGCAGGGGGGATCCGAAGCCAGGGGAGAACATGCAATCTCCACGCACACAGGGCAGAGGTGGGATTGAAACCCCCACCTCTGGAGGTGCAAGGTAAACGTGCTAACCACTAAGCCACCATGCCGTACCCATAAAACCAAAATCCAAGAAACTGTGTCCCTTGTACATTTGAATTTGGATGAATTCCTCATGAACTGTTCCAACATTCAAATATCCAATCAGCCAATCATGTGGCAGCAACCCAATGCATAACATCATGCATATACAGGTCAAGAGCTTCAGTTAACATTCATGTCAAACATCAGAATGAGGAGAAATTTGATCTCAGCGACTGTGGTTGTTCGTGCTAGACAGGCTGGTTTGAGTATTTCAGAAACTGCTGATCTTCACAGATTTTTACACACCACAGTCTCTAGAGTTTACACAGACCAGTGTAAGGAGCAGTTCTGTTGGTGGAAATGTCTCGTTGATGAGAAAGGTCAGAGGAGAATGGCCAGTCTGCTTCAAGCTGACAGGAAGGCTAATTCAAATAACCACTCTTTGCGGCCGTGGTGAGCAGAAAAGCATCTCCGAAAGCACAGCTTTGAGGTGGATGAACTACAGCAGCAGAAGACTACATCGGGTCTCGCTCCTGTCAGCCAAAAGAACAGGAATCAGAGGCTACAGTGGGCAAGGGCACACCAAAACTGGACAGTTGAAGATGGCAAAAGTGTTGCCTGGTCTTTTTCCTGTTCTTTTTAAAATGTTCTGATACTACTTGATACAGAATATATAGAGTGTATATGCTTCATTCAAATGGTAATGGTAATAAAATAAAATTAATAATATTGACCATTTGTTTAACATTTTTGGGAAGGAGTCCCCAGTGTCAGAGTGCTTTTTCAGACATGGGAAAGTCTTCAGGACAGAAAAGTTTGTGCTTTCTAGGTAACGTGACTGCATTAATTCCCTTTTTTTGAAAATGGTAAATTAGCCATTATTTATGCTTGTCTGAGTTAGTGAACAACCTCTAAGAACACATAAGTGTGACTAGCATCATTTTAAACCAATTCAACTGAAGACCCGGTTCAATTGTGCTTAACACTTCAACCCCAGACATAACACTGCTGTAAGTGTAGCCAACATTTTTTTTTTTTTACTAATATAAGAGAAGAATGCTGGAATGGCGGTTTGAATAATATAATTTGACAAAAGGGTAATAGTTTTTCAAAAATGAAAAAAAAAAAAAAAAAGGTCAAGGTCAGACTTCCATAGTAAAAGTTGAAGCTGCAGAAACAATTCTCTTCAGTAAAAGCATCTGTTTCTCTATATTTATGTTCTATCCATTCCTTTTTGCCAGACAACAGGATCCAATCATTTTTGTTAAACTACATATACACAATGAATTAGAACTAGGAATAAATGTACCTGCACACTAGCGTGTTTGATTCCACTGCCCCTTCTTGCTGAAGGGAGAAACTTTGATCATATGCTGCCCCACTACAGGCATTTTTCATCGCCTGCCATACGGTAAAGTCCGACTTCCTGGTTGATTATTGCCTTCTGGAGGGACTGTTCTCTTAAATGTAAACACATATGGTGCAGATTTGTCTCATAAAGGCACACATTCTTTGCTACTTAACTGTTTTGGAGTCTGCGTTATCCACAACTCAGTTCTGCTACAATATTTACGTCTAGAGTTCAGAGGTAGCTAGGGAATGTTAAGTTGACAAAGAGATGACAAAGTGTTTCAACCCAGTCACGCACGAGTCCTGGTCATTTTCATAAACAGATTGCTGTTGCTTTGTGAAGACTTGAGAACTTTTTGTGCCCTGAGTGCCAGGTTAAATGAGGCAGACAGACAGGCGTGACCGCAGGCTTCATCTCTCTCTCTCTACAGCCAAGTAGCAGAGAAAATGTGTTTACCTAGCAGAGAGGTGTCAGAGTTACAAAAGATATTGAAGATACTTTATATGCGTTAACTTCATACCACACTCTCAAGACAATCTAGCATGTTCTTTACTTTGTCTCTGTGGGAGATTTTAAGTCAAACTGTACAACAATGGACAACTGTAGATAGATAAGTACAGAATAAAATACTTGGGGGCGTGTTGTTATAGGAGAATAATGCTGCAATTGTTGTGTCTCGTAAGTTGTAATTTGCAAGTTAATGTCATTTCCCACCTCGGTACTTTCGACATGCAAAGTGGAAAAGAAAACATGGACGCCTCCATGAAAGCGTGTCTTTTGTTTGCTTCATCAGAGCATGTAAAGCTCATTAACCACACTTTTACAGTTACAGGCCTGAGTGGCTATTGGTACTGTTCTACTATAGTGAATTTCAAACAGTCATGCAACATTTTGGACCGAAATGGTAGTACAGCAACAACAGCAGACAACAGCAAGTAGCGTTAACAACAAGTGAGCCAGCTAACATTAGTGACAACTCTAATGTTGATTACCTTCTCAAAACAGTGTTATAGATTTAACCAGATACTGTGTCAGTCTATTGGATCCCTGGAGGACTAGTGGTTAGGCCCCTGGGGTCTCACTGCCGTGGCCTGGGTTTGATTCCTGGCCAGGGAACCAACCCCAGCCACTGGGGTTGCACATGACAGTGCACTCCCAGTGCCAGTTCCAAGCCTGGATAAAATTGGGGATGGTTGAATCAGGAAGGGCATCCAATGTAAAAACTGTGCCAAATCAAATATGTGGACCAATGATCCACTATGGCGACCCCTAATGGGAGCAGCCGAAAGAAGAAGAACAACTGTGCCTGTATATTAACTCCTTTAAAGCCTATACTGCTATCAACTAATTTAAAAGTAGAGAAGTGGTACTTTACACTGTTCACAGTGTGCCCGAGCACTATGTTGATTTGTCGTCAGTCTGTAAACAGGGAAGGAACTGGTACTTGAGAAGACTATCCCAAGTTGACAAGTTGGAATTTCAAGTTGAGAGGCGTTTTCGGGGGTTTTTACCGGTTGTAGGCGGGGAATTACAAGTCGCGACTTCGCCTTGTACCAGGCTTTCTGGTTACTGATTTGTCCACCCATGTATTTCTGTTCAGTATTACTCTAAAACCATTGATAAAACCCGTGAAAGATGGCTTCCAACATCTCGTCACAGCATTTCCAAGTACATAACCGGACACACTTTGCCACCTCAATCAATTACCTTTTGTCTGAAGGCTAGTTGACACACAGCAGCATAGGTGCTACATGTTAGCATGTCTTGGCGTCTCTTCACACCACATTAAACCCCTATCTACATTGCAACGTGAAATACACTTCAGTGCTCAAGTATAAATCAGCCTTAACAAGTTCTTTGCTTTGGGCCTCTGGTGAATCTTGGATGATTCCTTGTAGGACCCTTCAGAACAGGATCCTAAATGCCTCAGAAGATCTTAAATACCTCAGAAAACTAAGATTTCTTAATTAATCAAAGAACCCTTGGGGAAGCCATGTTTTCTAAGAAACTCAGCCATGGTTATTTCTGAGGCAAACAGAAAGCAGAGGAGTAGGATGCAAAGTTGTCATTCTTAATTTAGTCTATTGGTGCTGCATGTCTGCAAAAAAATGCTACACATTGTATAAAGTCAAACCCAATTATCACATGCACCCTTCCCCCACCCCTGCAAGGTTTGGGCAAGTTTTCTCAGTTTCCTTTGTCGTATCTTGGCATGGATATGGATAAAAATATCTTCTCGGAAATCAGATCAGATCAGATCATTAGCAGCTAATGCCTGAGAGAAATTAGCACTCCATCTGGAGCTTAATCCTGCTAATGCTGCTCTGAATCCACTGGGAGAAATTCTTAGGACAAAAAATCCAGACTGAGGATTTTTGTTCCCGCTCACGACTTTGAGTTGAGATTTACCTCAGATATATAGAGAGCAAACTTTATGACGCTCCCTTTCTGGTGGCTCTCAAAGACATGGTATATCATTTTTATTACATCTGTTTCCTGCTGTTTTTTGCCTCATGAACTGTCCGGAACAAAAATTAATGGTCTATGATCACTAGGACAAGCAGTTGGCTGATCGGAAGAAGAACAGGCAGCTAGCGTGAATGCTAAACTATGCTGACTCAGCATACGCTTAGCTATTTCACTTTCTCTCTGGGACTTTCTCTCTGAGGCAGTGAGCTAGACTGTTTGAACATGACCAGCTCTCTATCGCTGATATATTTAGCATGCAATGCTTCATGGAAGGTCTGTTTAACAAGTCAGTGCGTATGGCACTTTATTACACTTTGGTCACACAGACCAAAACTTTGCTGATGGAAGCAAGGCCTATTTTGAAAGTCGGCCAAATGACAGCTTTCACAGTTACCGATGGCTGCTTTTAATATCTCACTGTTTGTTTTTTGAGCTAGGAAGATCTCATAGCTGAACCTCGCAGTCTGACCCCATGTTTTAATGCTATGCTGTAATGATGATGTGGACAAATAGAGATTAATGTGGTGGTTCCAGGACATTAAATCAAATCAGTCAAGCTGCTTAACTGTCTGGAGTCCCACTTTCTAAAAAAATTTTGACATACATGACAAATGTAAATAGTGTAAATAGTAAAGTTAATGTTTTTGGGAACTTTGAGAAACACCTCCTGGGTGAAGCTCCCTCATAAAGCTGGTTTAGAAGAGTATGCAAAGGAATACTGTTAGTAATTTAAAATATAAAACAGTTATACTATTTTATGATCACAAAAATAATGACACTATTTTATGTGTAATCCTTTAACACCTTTCTTGGTCAATGCATTATTATTCTAAGCTAGTACAAAATAGTAAAAATTAAGAAAAATGAGAACGTATACCCAAGAATAATAATAATAATAATAATAATAATAATAATAATAAGAATAATAATAAGAAGAAGAAGAAGAAGAAGAAGAAGAAGAATCACCATCATCATCAGCAGCAGTAGCAGCCCTGGACTTTTATTTTTAATATCTGTTATTTTTGTCGAACCCTTCAGGATAGGCTGACTGAAGAAATCAGCTTAAACAAATTATGAGGCTGCAAGAGGAATGGATAAATAATAATAATAATAATAATAAGAAGAAGAAGAAGAAGAAGAAGAAGAAGAAGAAGAAGAATCACCATCATCAGCAGCAGCAGTACCAGCCCTGGACTTTTTAATATCTGTTATTTTTGTCGAACCCTTCAGGATAGGCTGACTGAAGAAATCAGCTTAAACAAATTATGAGGCTGCAAGAGGAATGGATTCAAAAAAAATGAAAGGTTGGATACATAAGAGATTTGGGATGGGCAATATGGCAAAGGTAGATTTTTTAAATTCATTTTTATTCATATAGATTTATTGGTACAAAAATATATATTTTCACTTCCATTTACTTGTAGTAATGGTGTAGTAACAACACTGACCTCCGATGATATACAAAATTCTTAGTTAACACATACTATATTACAATGTAAATATATCCAGTCCTATATTGAAAACGAGCCTATATTGTAAATTAGTTACTATAATATTACTTGCATACTGTAAATATGTGGTGGTCTGGGAAAACCCTTCAGATGGTTAAATGGACATTTTCAACTATAAACAGTTCTGAACGAGACAGACTGTCCTGAACTGTTCTAGCATTTTACATTCTGATTACCTCCAAAAGAAAATGGAGAAAATTGTATTTAAATATTTCATTCCAACTGTGGTACAGGAGTGTGACGGATATTTTGACAGCTGGAATATAATTAGAAACTGAATTGATTAGGATTAGATCAGTTTCGCTATGTAACGTAGCTATCCAACAACTTGATCCAATCGTGACAGTCACTGTGTGAGGAAATTGCACTTAGCTAGCAAGGGTGTAAACATCTTTCTCATCAGGACATGATTTCATTGCTTATACTAAACTTAATTAAAACAAGGTTGTAATTACTAGACTGAATTATGTAGTGAGCGTGATCGATTCATGTAGTATTAACGTAAACCAATTCCCTTATGAAGTTTTGCGAGGACGTTGGCGCTGATGGGTATTATAACTATAGTATCAAATTAATGCGATTTAAATGCCAGTGATCCAGGTTTGATCCTGAGCTTGGGTGAAGTTTGATTTTACCCAGGGATTTGAAAACACACGATCAGATCATGTTGGATGTACGAAAAAAAAAAAATTGTGTTAATGCAACTCAGTTCAATCACGTGGAACCAATGTATGCATCTGAATTAAACAAATTCAATGAGCTTTTTTGTCTTTTTTTTTTTTTTTTTTTTTTTTACTGTTCAGCCACGATGGCGTCCAATGGATTTTCCTAAACGCCACACAATTATATTTACAGTCAGGTCCGGAAGTATTTGGACAATGACGGAGTTTTTGTGATTTTGCCTTTATACGCCACCACAACGGATTTGAAATAAAACAATCAAGATGTGATCGAAGTGTAGACTTTCAGCTTTATTTTAAGAGGCTCCACAAAAAATCTGGCGTTTACCCTTTAGGAATTACAGCCATTTTCAACAAAGTACCTTCATTTTCAGCGGCTCAAAGGTGTTTGGACAAAGTGACATAATTGTAAATATCTTGATTATATATTGTAAATATCAATCAAGAACACATCGTGATTGTTTTAGTTCAAATCCATTGTGGTGGTGTATAAAGGCAAAATCCCAAAAACTCCGTCATTGTCCAAATACTTCAGGACCTGACCGTATATTCACTCAATTTGATTATATTTCATTCTGTCTTGCAGGATGTAATAAAATACCCTGTATTTTACTGTACCTCTTCGAAAAAAAAGATCAAACCTTCACAAATTCCCCTCCTGTGACTTATAAGACAATGCGATATTAACTCAAAGGAAATTACAAAGACCGGTTGTATTACTGATAAAAAGCTTAACAGTAGAAGATATGATGGAGATTTCAAAACGTCTTAGATCTTAGATTAAGCAAATTTCTAGACAGTGTAGTTATTTGTTGGAATTAAAAAAAAACAACATGAAGTTTAAAAAGAAGCTGAACAGTTTGCAGCGACTCTAAGAGGCGTTATTCAGAGCCGCTACAGTAAGTCTGACTTTGCCCGTGGAATGTTAGATTTCCTCTTTCATGGAATTATTTTTAGGACTCTAATTTGCGCCCTGGGTGTATTTTGTAGCTGACCTTTTCATACATTTTCGTATTACAGGCAAGCAGTTTGCTTAGCAGGGAAATGTCTGGCCCTTATTGTTATATTGGGCTCTTTACCATCCCTGTGATCATTTCTTAATATACATAGAATAAAAAGAAAATGAGTGCCTGGAAATCTAGATGTAGTTCATTGGGTTTGCTAAAGAGGTTTACAGCTAAATATAGAAGTAAATCTGACAGCTTGAAGACTAGCCAGCTTTGTAGCTCTCCCCTGCCTTATATTCTGCCCACTAAGGAAAGGAAGCGTTAACGCTTCTTCCTCACGTAATGCTCTGAAGGTTGCAACAGCAGGCTGTTTCATGAAACAAATCATACAAAAATGATCTGTGGGATTTATTTCCCCAGGAATTGACATTGCAGTTAATCTCAGGAATCCTGGGATTCTGTATCCCAGTTGACAGGAGCAGCAAAAACCCCACTTACTTGTGCTCATC